CCTCTATTAAAAGGACCAGACATTTTTCTCTGAGTAGGGTTGCCAGGTTGGAGTTTTCTACCAGTGGGGGGTGGGAGGGAGCCTTCCAGGAGTATGAGGGTGGGGTGACATCACTGCACGCAACGTCATCGGTGCGATGAGATCACGCAGAAGTGACGCCATCGCACCAGGGACGCCGCATCGCAATGCTCTAGCATTTTGGCCCAAACTCTATGGTAATGACATTGCTTCTGGGTGTCATCACAGCGGCAATGTCAACATGCGATGTTGCTTGTTCAGGGGTGGGGCTTCCTCCAGCAGCCAACTGGTTGGTGGAGGGCTGGGCCCCCGGAAATCAGGGGAACCCCCGCATGGACTGGGGGTCGGGCATCCCTATCTCCGAGCCTTGTATTTACCCTAAGTCTATAAGTACATGGGATGTAAGCCTAATAAATGCATTATATATCAGTAGTTGACAACTATGGGATGCCCAGGGTGTCCAGTTGCAATACAAAATGTCACCTCTGGCCTTCTTAGGTGTTCTATGCAAAGTGAGTATAGTGTTGGGGTGATGCATCCTTTGCCAGTCTGGGCACCCATCCAGTGCCTCATCTTGACATCCTCTGTACCAGTTCCTCCACTGAAACGAAATTATGCACACACACAAATTGAAACAAGCCCAGATTTCACACTTGTTAATTAAATTTTGAGCACTGAATTTGAAATTTTGATGGTGAAACTGTCATTCCCCAGCTTTATACTTGCGGGTTTCTCTGGAGTGCTTTGACTTGGAACGGCGACTAAAACGAGCCCAAATAATGTAAATCTCTTAAACTGTCATTTCTCTAACAGTGCAGCCCAGCTACTTCAGCCTAAACCTACTGGGTTCAGTGGGATTATACTGGCGTAACTGCATAGGATTGCACTGTAAATATCATTGCTGGTTCAATATCAAATGCTGGTCGTGGCTAAATTGTCAGATATGGTAGATCGCAATACAAAATACTTGGGTTGGGAATACCAAATTCAGGGGACCCCTTACCTTTTTGCGCCTGCAGGGACTTTGGGATTTTGACACAGCATGGTGAATGCAGACACAGAAAGGGTGCCATAAAATGGCTCCTGTAGGAGGAGGAGCCAGCCACAGAATGGCTGTCACTGTTCACTAGGGCTGCCAGCCTCCAGGTGGGGCCTGGAGAGCTCCCGCTTTCACAACTGATCTCCAGCTGACAGAGATAATCTCCCCTGGATAAAATGGCTGCTTTAAAGGGTGGACTCTCTGTACCATGCTGAGGCCCCTCCCCTCCCCAAACCCCACCCTCTCCTGGATCTACCCCCAAAGTCTCCAGGCATTTTCCGTCTCAGACCTGGCAGCCCTACCAGTGTTTACCTTCAGTCACACAGTGAAGACCTTTGTGCTTTGGAGGCCGCTGCTGCTAAAGCAACATTTTTTTAAAAATCTGCACTGCCAATCATATCTCCAAAGCCCCACCTGGCCCCGTAGGATTGCCAGGTCTAGGTTGGAAAATACCTGGAGACTTTGGGGGTGGGGCCAGGAGAGGGCGGGGTTTGGAGAGGGGTGGGGCCTCAGCATAATACAATGCCATAGAGTCTGCCCTCCAAAGCAGGCATTTTCTCCAGGGGAGTTGATCTCTGTCAGCTGGAGATCGGTTGTAAAAGTGGGAGATCCCCAGGCCCCACCTGGAGGCTGGCAACCCTATGGCCCCGCCCACTTCCTAAAAACCCTTGACAGGCACCAGGAAAAAGTGTTCATGGGCCCCACGGCCACCACAGGCTTCACGCTGGGGACCCCCGGCCTAATGAATAGTCAACTGCAAACAAAAAAAGAAATTTGGGAGATGCTTTATTAGTTTCTGCTTTAGTTATTACAGCTGCCCTTCTATGGATTCTTTGAAGAACAAGGCAGAGCAAACCTATTCGGCTCACAGGCCCCGCTTGCTTGTAAAACCGGCTAGGACAGGTGGCGTGATGAAGTATGTGTTACATGTTTGAATGCTGCTCTTTCATGTTTTGGGGCCTTTCACGCTGTTTTACAAATGGAAACAGTCACCGAGGTGAAAGCCGGCTCCCTTTTTAACACCTGCAATAACTCCTGGTTTACACCTGCCACCCCACCCGTGTCTCTGTCTCCTGTGCGTTGGAATCAAGGGCTCGGCAATCCTTTACGCTGCCCTGGCTTCTGAAATGGGGTGTGTTAGAAAGTTGGCTGTAGCAGTGCAACATTTAATCTTGGTACAGGAGGTTTTCTGTACTTAAGACAGAATGGCCACAACTCAAATGGATTCTGCACCGATAGATAATTATATGGGGGGGCTAGAGGGGAAACTGTGTGCTGCATCTTTTGGAAACTGAGAAATCCTAAACAGAGTTACAGCCTTCTAAGGATTTAGGACAGCACTACTCGCCACAGCCAGGGAGGGGAGGGGAGTGATAAACTGCTCCGGGACCCCACGACTCTGAGGGACCCCCCCACTGTATTGATTCATATTGCCTCTGGTGGCACCTGGTTGACCCTTGACCTTCAGGCCAAGCGGCTTACCGCATGGAACAGGAAGTCTGTTTGCCTACCTAGTGTATCAGCATTCATGGTTATTAATGTATTAACATTACATACCAGGCTGTCTGTGTGTAAAGCGCTGTCATGCTGCAGCCAACTCATGCCGACCCGGTAGGGTTTTCAAGGCAAGAGACAAACAGAGGTGGTTTGCCAGTGGCTTCCTTTGCACAGCAACCCTGAAATTCCTTCGTGGTCTCCCATCCAAGTACTGTTAACCAGAGCAACCCTGCTTGGCTTACGAGATCTGACAAGACTGGGTTAGCCTGGACCGTCCAGGCAGTGTTCCCTCTAAGCTGAGTTAGTGTGAGCTAGCTCACAGTATTTTAGCCTCCAGCTCACACATTTTTGTCTCAGCGCAGGAAGGAGGGCTCCAGAGCAAACTAATTTCTGCAGTAGCCAAATCACTCACTCACAACTTAGTGCCAGGAGCTGACAAAGTAGAATTTTTACTCACAAGACTCCACAGCTTAGAGGGAACATTGCTTCCAGGTCAGGGAACATACTAAACTATTGGTATATAATACATTAATTATGTTAATAATACTGTGTTTATTTCCCATGCCCTTATGTATACTACTGACAGCCCTGGGAATGCAGGTAGTGGCAGGGTCCAAGACTATGTTTTGACTAGGGTTGCTGGCCGATGGCCAGATGGACCTTTGGAAGGTGGGGGCAAGGTGATGTGCCCATCAGTGATTTTATGTCGTCGCAATGATGCCCTAGGAACTTCCCAGATCTCTATGGTAAAAACCATAGAAATCTGGGAAATTCCTAGAACATTGCCATGACATCGCGTCTGTGTATGTACCTGGAAGTGATGTTGCAGTGTCATGCAACGCCAATTTCCGTACTGATTTTCCTTCCATTGCTCTGCCAGACAGGAGTGGGAATTCAGAGCGTGGGGTAGGGTCTCCCATCCTGGTGGGTGACCTGGCATCCCTAGTTTGACTTGCTGCTGGGTTAACCTGTCTGGTCAATGCCAGCCAAGCTACAATCTGTGGCCTGCTAACACTGGCTGATATTGGTATCCAATAGAATCATAGAGGTGGAAGGACCTCCAGGATCATCTAGTCCAACCCCCTGCACAATGCAGGAAATTCACAAATACCTCGCCCCCAGTGACCCCTGCTCCACGCCCAGAAGATGACAAAAAAAAAGCTCCAGGATCTCAAGCCAAACTGGCCTTGAGAAAAATGGCTTCCTGACCCCAAAGTGGCAATTGGCATTTCCCTGGGCATGTAGGAAAGGGCCACAAGAACTAAGCACTGAGGCAACCCTTCCTGCATCCTCCCTCTCATGCTCTGCCCAAGTTCACAGAATCTGCATTGCTGTCAGAGGGCCATCTAGCCTCTGCTTCAAAACCTCCAAAGAAGGAGAGCCCACACCACCTCCCAAGGAAGCCTGTTCCACTGAAGAACCACTCAAACTGTCAGGAAGTTCTTCCTAATGTTTAGCCAAAGACTCTTCTGATTTAATTTCAACCCATTGGTTCTGGTCCGACCTTCTGGGGCAACAGAAAACAACTCTGCACCATCCTTTATATGACAGCCCTTCAAGTGGAGCTGCCAACCCTCCCGGCTGGGAAATTTCCTGGAGATTTGGGGGCTTGGGGAGGGGCTTCCATGGGGACATCAGACCATAGAGTCTACCCTCCAAAGCAGCCATTTAGCTGACTTACATTTTCAACTTTTAAAAGTAACTTCCTACCCTGGTAGATCCAGAGGTGCTAGGCAAAATATGCCAGGCGATGTTCTGCCCAGTGGTTTAATCAACCGAGCCCAGCATGTGACGATCAAACGACCAGGAAACGTTTCATTGGAGTGGTGATTCTTCAAGTACTCTGGACATCATGATACACTGGGGTCCTTCCATACCCCTGTGATTGTCGTGGCCAGAGCTATTTTTGGGCAGGAACGCACAGGAACGGAGTTCCGGCTGGCTCCCGAGTTGGCCACGCCCAGCAGGAACTCATTAGCATAATAGGCCACACCCAACAGCAGAAACTCATTAGGATTGGTTGCATTAGGGGTGTGTGGCCTAACATGCAAAGGAGTTCCTGCTACAAAAAAGCCCTGGGTTTTGACAACAAACAAGGTAAACAGAATAAGAAGCAAAAGGTGGGTGTGGCTGGATGACCACACTTCTGGTAACATGGGGGTGCGGCCTAATGTGCTAATGAGCTGTGCTGTCAGGGGTGTGGCCTAATATGCTAATGAGTTTCTGCTGTTGGGTGTGGCCTATTATGCTAATGAGTTCCTGCTGGGCTTTTTCTACAAAAAGAGCCTGTCGTGGCAGTCTTCCTCAGCAAGGAGAGGATGACCTCTGCCTTCCACCCTTCGGCCGCATTGCGGGAGGAGAAAACTCACTGTAATCTTGGCTTGAAATTCAAGGCCTTTGTGCCTGTCCTGTGGTTTCTAATCCATGTTTGTTTTCTCGTTCTCAGTGAATCTCCTTGACACAAGTGCGGCTCAGAACGAGCTGGGCTGGTTGCCAGATCCTCCGGAATCTGCGGTGAGTAGCCAATACACGTTCCGCAATGGAAGCCGTCGGAATGATAACTCGCTGAAAAGGATTTTCGTCATGGTGATGGTGTCAGGCTGCCAACTCCAGCCTGGGAAATTCCTGGTGATTTGGGGGAGCAGTGTCTGCGGAGGGGAGAATTTGGGGAGGGATTTCACCTGGAATCTATACTTTACCATAGAGTTTGCCTTCTGAATCTGCTATTTTCTCTAGAGGAACTGATCTTCGGCCCATTCTGCATCTAGCATTCACTCTGTTGTTTTACCAAACCCACATTGGAACAGAAAAAGATGCAGCTCAAAACCACATTCAGATACCCCAGGCCAACACCATACTGACTGCACAGTCACCCCTGAATGGCTGTAAAACGGCCATAAATGTATGCAGGCGGTACCATAAAACCGAGAGATCAAAAGTAGTGAAAGCAGCATGCAGTCTGGGCACTGCCATAAAATCCGACAATCAATCAAACTGAAAGTGGCTGCAATGTAGAGGGGGAATTCTGTTTCAATGTGGGTTTTGTAAAACAGTGGAGCGAATGCTAGATGCCGAATGGGCCTTTATTGTCTGGAGTTCAGTTGTAATTATGGGAGAACTGGCGACCCAGGTGGTGGGTCTTTGGTAATGGTAGCTGAAATGCTCTGGTTTCACAGGAAGGTTTAGTATGCAAAGGGTGCTCTGGTTGCCATTGGGGGTTAGGCTGTTAATACTTTTCCACTCCCTTTGGTTTGCATTTTCTGTTCCTTTTCTGAACTGCTACTTTTGCATTTTTTTTGGGGTGGGGTCAGTAGGTCCAAAAAGTCAATGTGGTATAGTTAGGTTAGATTGGGACGTGGGAGATCTGTGCGCAAATCCCTACTCTACCATGAAGCTCACTCATCACTTCAGGACAGTCCTTCTCTCTCAGGCTAACCTACTTTACAGGACTGTTGTGATGACAAAATAGAGAGTGGAAATCAGTGGGAGGCCAGGGGGCTGGAGACATGGAGGAGCAGCCGTCAGCAATGGCATGATTTAATTTCTCTGAAAACCTGGAAGTGATGTTGTCGTCTTCTCTAGGAATAGCTGAAAACTCTGTGATCTTGCCATAGAGTTTCCAGCAGTTCCTAGAGAAGACTACAACATCACTCAATCACTTGACAATACTTTTTTTTAAAAAAAATCTTCTGCTAGCAACTGGAGTGCCAGCAAGCCTCTGGACACCTAAGGGAGAACCATATATGCTGACCTGAACTCCTTTGAGGAAAAGTGGGATTAAAACAGTTTGATAGCTTTGTATTTTTTCCCCCTTTCTCTCAGTAAGAAGGGAAGGAAAGTGATAGGCCCTTTTATGAGCAGCACATGAGCTCTTCAGAGTCGCGCATCTTATCTTTTTCCTGCAGAGTTTTAGAATATAACAATGGTGGCCTGTCTTATCCTGCAAATGGCCCCTCGCTGTTTCGGCGGGGAGATTGTTCCCAAGTGAAATTCTTGAACAGATCACAGGCTTCATTTTTTTTAAAAAAAAGGTTTTTGCATCAGGTTTTTACCTGGCTACACTTTGAATGTTCTTTGGAATGCACAGTAAATCTCCATGGCCTCTAGGGATCGTCACACACATTTCATCTTCTTCTCTCTCTCTCTCTCTCTCTCTCTTTTTTGATGTTCCTGCGAGGACGCTGCATGCTAACCTTGCATATTCTGAATTGCTGGAACTTGCCTCCAGTATGGTGTGTGGGTGGGTATTTCCCCCCCCCCTGCAAAGAGGAAATGAACAAAAATGTCAGGGTCTTTTATTTGACAGAAAGTTCTTCTGCCATTTCCTTGTGAAAAACAGTTCTGGAGGTATAAGTTAACTTTGTAATACCTGTTTTAGTCATACAGGGCTATTTTTGGGCAGGAACGCACAGGAACGGAGTTCCGGCTGGCTTCAGAGTTGGCCACGCCCACTACAGCCAAAACATCTGCGTGCGTGGCTACAGAGGGAAGGCCTGGAGAGTGACCCCCCTGGCGACTCCGAGGCGGGCGGGCCAGGGGCCCACTGGAAGGATCGGGGAGGCTTTTAAATGCCTCCCCGTGCCTTCCCTGACCTGTCCAAGGGCTGGCTTGCCCTGGCTCCCCGCAGCTGCAGGGCGCCCAGGCAAGCCAAGAGACATCACTTCAGGCAACGTGCTAATAAGCTGTGCTGTCAGGGGTGTGGCCTAACATACTAATGAGTTTCTGCTGTTGGGTGTGGCCTATTATGCTAATGAGTTCCTGCTGGGCTTTTTCTACAAAAAAAAGCCCTGCATAAATATCTATGCCCCTTTTCTCTCCAAAGGCGACTCAAAGCAGCTTTACAACATTGCTCTCCCTCCCTTCATCTTGTCCTCGCCATAACAAACCACTAACGTGGGTTAGGCCGAGAGTGTGTGACTAGCCCACGGTTACCCAGCGAGCGTCCATGGCAGAGTCGGGATTCGAAGCTGGGTCTCCCCGGGGGGGGGGGGGGCAGCAGAAACACAGTCCAGAAGTGCTAGTCTGGCACAAAAGAGAATGCTCTTCCACAACTGGGGTTACCAGCTCTTTTGCGCCAGACTAGCACTTCCTTGCAATTCTCCAAGGCTGTTGTTACCTGCAGCCATTCCCTAGTTCTCTTCATTCCGAGTCTGAAGTGCCTCTCTGTTGGCACACACAGATTTGGGCACATTATCTCTGCCACCATTCTGACAGGAAGGGATGCCAGTCTCCAGGTGGGTCTGTTAAGTCGCTCGCTTAACAAAGCGGTCGGAGAGTGATTGAGCCAGAACACAGCTTTATTCTTCCACTCGAACACAACTCCAACACGGATCAACCTCTGATAGCCAGAACAACACGGTTCAGATTTTACATTGCAGCTGCCCTGCTTTTAAACATTCCCGGCTAATGTAGCCACGCCCACTGTACACATACCAACCGATAAGGTTGTTCACATGAGGACCAATCACGGCCATTCCCGCTCAGGGGGCTTGCTGCGAAGTGATTGGCTTGTTACTTCCTGGGCTAGCAATACCATTGGATGTATTTGGATCCTAGCCCAGGATGAAGCTTAACATTACAAGTTAATGAGATGTTTCACATACATCATGCATTCCATGGCAGCTTTGGAATACACTACAGGGACCTGGAATTACAGCTCATCCCCAGACTACAGAGATCAGGGCTATTTTGGGGCAGGAACGCACAGGAATGGAGTTCCGGCTGGCTCCCAAGTTGGCCATGCCCAGCAGGAAATCATTAGCATAATAGGCCACACCCAACAGCAGAAACTCATTAGGATTGGCTACATTAGGGGTGTGTGGCCTAACATGCAAAGGAGTTCCTGCTACAAAAAAAGGCCCTGGGTTTTGACAACAAACAAGGTAAACAGAATAACAAGCAAAAGGTGGGTGTGGCTGGATGAGCACACTTCTGGTAACATGGGGGTGTGGCCTAATGTGCTAATGAGCTGTGCTGTCAGGGGTGTGGCCCAATAGGCTAATGAGTTTCTGCTGTTGGGTGTGGCCTATTATGCTAATGAGTTCCTGCTGGGCTTTTTCTACAAAAAGAGCCCTGACAGAGATCAGTTCTTCTGGAGAAAATGGCTGCTCTGGAGGGTGGACTCTATGGTGCTCCACCGAGGTCCCTGTCCTCCCCAGGCTCCACCCCCAAATCTCCAGGAGTTTCCCAACCTGGATCGGGGAACCCTCATCCCCTGCTGGTGCCCAAGGATGACCTGGCAACCCTACGAACAAGTAGGATGTGGCTTGCATGCCAGGCTGTAGTAGCACTACCTGACCATCAGTGCCCATTAAGCAGACATGTTCTAATTACCCCAGAGCGCCAAGAGATGGCCCCTTCTGTTCTTTCAGCCGTGGAATAGCACAGTGATGGCTGGGGTTGCCAGCACCACTTGGGTGGGCAAGTGATGGCTAGAGTCGCCAGCCAATCCTAGGAGCTTTGGGGGATTCAGGGCTGGGTGTTGAGCAGTCTGTGACATCACTTCCAGCTGCATAACCGGAAGCAGGGCTATTTTTGGGCAGGAACGCACAGGAATGGAGTTCCGGCTGGCTCCTGAGTTGGCCACGCCCAGCAGGAGCTCATTAGCATAACAGGCCACACCCAACAGCAGAAACTCATTAGAATTGGCTACATTAGGGGTGTGTGGCCTAACATGCAAAGGAGTTTTTGTTACAAAAATAGCCCTGGCTTTTGACAACAAACAAGGTAAACAAAATAAGAAGCAAAAGGTGGGTGTGGCTGGATGACCACACTTCTGGTAACATGTGGGTGCGGCCTAATATGCAAATGTGATGTGCTATCAGGGGTTTGGCCTAATATGCTAATGAGCTTCTGCTGTTGGGTGTGGCCTATTATGCTAATGAGTTCCTGCTGGGCTTTTTCTACAAAAAAAGCCCTGACAGGAAGTGACGTCACATATCACTGCGATGTTCCAGCAATCCCCCAAATCTCTTGCTAGAGCGTCATGATGACTCATGACATCACTTCAGGCAACGGTCCCATCACATAAATGCTTCACCGCTCTCGGATCACCGTTCCTGATGGGTTCAGCAGCACCTGTGATGGTCAGGACGGAGCTAGGAAGGTGGGTTTCAGTGGGAAGAGGATTCCGCAACTGTGGGGTAACCAGCTCCCAAAGGGCCCTGATCCTCGTGGGTACCATTTCCCCTTCAGGAAAGGAAAGCCTCCGTCACAGAGCCCCACTGGATAACTCGAAGTTACGGGAGAAGCGATTTCCCAAGGTGCCATAGTCCACAACCGTGTGAAATTCTCAGGGTCAGCGTATGCACCTGGAAATTTAACCTGGAAGCAAATTTGGCAGCCTGTAGAGGTTTTTTCTCCACTGCTGGTATAATGTGGTCCGTGCAGTTTGCATCAGTGAGTATCCTGCAACCACACTTGGGGGGGGGGGCGTCTCGAGCTTCCAAATTGCCTTCAAGAGCAGCCCCACCTAAGATTGCACATGTAGTAGTCTGTGGAAGTTACCAGCAAAT